GCTCCTTTTAGTTCTTCGACTGAAATTCTCCCATGAGTTCTTTCAGATGGTGGTGTTGTAGCATTTTTAATGAATCTAAAGATCCAAGATACGACCTTTATGATCTTTTCGAATTTTGAAATATTGTCAAAAAGGTTAAATTTATCTGTATTCGTGTTATTGCTGGCTGAAACCACAGTTCGTTTTCTCTCTCCATTTACTATATCGAAGTCAGGATGTTCTCCATCTGCAATAGGCCACTCTTCTGGAGGTCGATAAATCCAATCTGGTCCTTTCCACCATTCGGATTTCCTCAATTCTTTTGCAGAGCAACCGCGTGATGGCAAATCCGAAGGATTAAACTTTCCGGGAATGTGATGCCAGTGATCTGGGTTACTCAATTTTCGAATCTCATTTACTCGATTGGCTACAAAAGTGGACCAATTTTCTTTCTGTTTTATCCAAAAGAGAGCATTTGTGGAATCCGTCCAGTAAAAAACTGGAACCTCTTTTAGTTTCAAGTCTTCTCTTATTGTATGAGAGAGCCTGGCTCCAATAGTGCAAGCGAGTATCTCTAGTCGAGGTATGGTGAGTGCTTTTAGGGGAGCAACTCTCGCTTTAGATTGTATCAATTGACAAGTGACTCCACTCTCACCGCTGTGTATAAGGAAAAATGCAGGTCGCGTACGCGTCCTTGCTTGCGTCCGAAAATACATGCAGAGTGGTACTTTCGTCTATTTTTGGAAGCAATCTAGGAATTTTGATGTCTTTCAAATATTTTAACTGAGATGACCTGACCATGTGAAAAATTTCCTTGCTAGATCATTCGGCAGATTAGTATCCCAGTTAATTTTCTGTTTCCAGCACTCTTGCAGAATCAGTTTAGGCATGAGAGAGTAACTGGACTAGTAAACCCAATTGGGTCAAAGATTTTACTCAATTCGGAAAGAACAAAGAACAGATCTTTTGCTCAATACAGGGTTTTCTTCATATTTTACGTGACAAGACAAAGTATCGTCAAACAAGTCCCATTTCAATCCCAATACTGACACAACATCTTCATAATCTTTATCAGAAAGGTTTAGAATTGAAGTTTCATTTTTAAGTCTATTATGTTTCCAACCTCTTAGGTCAAATTTTGCAGTAGCCATTATTTCTCTAGATCCTTTGATAAATGAGTTTAATTCTTCAATTGATTCCACGCTCGCTACGCAGTTATCCACATACATGGCTTTCTTTAGCTTTGAAGCTATTTCCTGATGATGTTTTGGTACATTTTCCAAATGGTAGTTAATCGTGGCAGCGAGTAAAAAAAAGGGGCTGGCGTTTACGCCGAATACAACCCTTCGGTGCCGATATATAGTCAGTTTTTCAGGCTGTCCTTTCTCCCACCATAGGAACCGGAGAAAATCTCGATCCGCTGGGTTCACACCTATCTGAAGAAATGCTCTTTTTATATCCGAAATTACTCCATACTTCCCCTCTCGAAATTTTGTCAAAATTTTGGGGATCAATTCAAGATAATTAGGACCCTTTTCCAGGCAGTCGTTCAGAGATACCGAATTTTTCTCCTTTGCAGATGCGTCGAACACTGGTCGAATTTTGGTAGTCGAATTTTCCCGAAACACTGCTCTATGTGGCAGATAATGCCCTTTGATCTTTTCTGCCTCCGAAATATCGATAGGTTCAATTATTCCCTCTTCTACCCAATCCTTTAAAACAGTTTCGTAGGCTTCTAAGGAATTCTTAGTCTGAAGGGTTTTCACGCAAGACTTCAGACGCTTTTCTGCAAGGATTCTATTATCTGGCAACTCAGGATGAATTTGAAGCCATGGAAGTGATACCTGATACCTTCCAGCGTCATCTCTTTCTAAAGTACGGATAAAATAATTTTCTGTAGCCTTTTCTATTTCTTGTTTTGTTTGCGAAAGAGCTGGTTCAGTTATTCCGATAGAATCAAGAGACCACAAGTCACAAATTTTTCTGTCACTAATGTGTAGTGATAAAAGAACTTTCATTAAAATTCTTTCCCTTTACCTTCGTTCTCCCTAATATTGTCCAACCAAGGTGTGTATTCATCGCTACTAAACTCTCCGTTACGTGTTTTATTTCCCCTGTAAAGAGTTTTCCGGCATAATCTGCTCCTACAAGCATGTGTATTTCGTTAGGGTGTTTTTCAAATAAACAAGAATTCTCATTAGTTACATCACTGGGAAAAATTTTGTAACCTCTTAGTTTCTTTAAGCATTCCCTATCCTCCAATTTTGGAATATGTGAGCATAAGGTTTTTTTTGGCTCAAAACTTCCATTTCGCATGTGAATCCTGTTTCTGGATTATTTAACTTAATCAGATACTTGTTGTGATTTTCCCTTTTTTCTATCCCTCCAAAAAGCCCATGAGTCACACTTTCCTGACCTAAAGATTTTAGTTTTAATTTCTCCGCAAGAAATGTGCTGATATATGATCTGCTACTTCCGGTATCCAGAATTATTCGTATAAAATTGCTTTCACCATCTCCGTAAACATTGACAATTAAAGTTTGCAAGATTACACTTTCATAGGATGAATTATTCGTTAAGGCCTTATTTTCAATTTGTTCTTCCTTAATTTCTCCGTTTTCGTTTTTAAAACACATTATAGTGGCATGTCGTTGTTTACATAATTCACACCTTATTCTAGAAGTGCAATTAAAACTAAGATGCCGTGGGTGTAAACAGCGATAACAGATTCCCTTTCGCTTTGCATTTCTCCCTTTTTTTTTTCTCAGTAGACCATAAAGATGCTTGTTTACACGTTATAGACTCGTGATCAGAAGAGTCGCAGAAAACACATGGTGTTTGTCCCCCCCCCCCCCGCAAACTTGCGTTCGTCAACTCCGAAGCTGTGTGTTTCGCAATAGGTCTGGTTTCACTCAGTTTGTTATGCTTTTGCGGCGCGCGCCGCCTTTGGCTGGACCGTCTGGAATGTACGTTCCCGCGCGCAACTAACTGTTCAGAAAGAAATTCCACTAGGTGATTCAAATCGTAATTTGATTTCCGAACTGTTTTATTATACTCCAAAACCAAATCTGCGGGCAATGTTTTAAGCAAAATAGGTGTTAATAAAGCTCCATATGTTTCTGAGGTCATATTTAATGATTCAAGACATCGAATATGTTTCTGTATATAATTGAATAACTTACGGAAATTTTGAATGTCATTAGAATCCTTTAGAGGTCTTATTTTCAGTAATTTATCTATATGGGCGTTTATCAGTACATCTTTATTTCCAAATCTTTCTGTGAGGAGTTTAACTGAAGTTTCGTAATTTTCTTCGGTTAAATCGAAACCGTCAATGGTGTTATAAGCAGTACCTCCCAAAAAGGATTTCAAATAATTAAATTTGCTTATAGCGTCAAGCGTTTTATTTTGGTGTATGGCTGATGAAAAAGTGTTCCAAAATGTCAGCCATTCGCAGCTCTCGCCATAAAACTTCGGAATCGTAAGTTTAGGAAGCTTCACATTATGACTTTCGATTTTAACGTTTTCTATAATACTTTCACTTAACTGTTCAGTGCTTCTTAACACACTTAAATTTTTGTTGTTCTATATTAATTTCTTTCAATTTTTTGTTAGCTTTGTATTTAAATGTAGTTATTCTTTCACGATATTCGTCAACACCGTTTAATTCCTGGTCTAGATCCTTTATGTCTATTAATTTTTCTATATCGGCATCTATTTGTTTTAACTCGTTCGATTTTTCATTTAAGAGTTCTAAGGAAATTTCTAGTTCCTCTGCATTCACTTCTGTTTTTGGTAATTCAGTTTCGATTCGGCCAATTAATTTTGTAACGGCAGCCCTTATGTGGCCGCGTTTCCTTTTCAATGTATCGATGAATTCCGTCATTATTTAATATTCAACAATTCAACAAGTATCAGCAATTCACTAATTATTTATGCTTATGTATTATCTATATAACTGATATCAATTTAGACAGTTTCAATAGTTAGGAAAACAGCAGTTACTGGCAGTCCCTGTTCGGGCGCCATGTTAAAAATTTTATCAACTTTGTACTATTAAAATTTTTTTTATCATTAAATAGATAAGTGAAAGTTCACTTATCTTCTAAATAGGGCTGCCCTGAACTGCCTTCTTTCCTTCTTGTCGGTATCCGTCTCTATGATGAACTTCGATTCACTGCGCGAACACAGCTATAAACTTTTTAAGAAATTTTAATTCGTATGAAAGATATCTACAAAATATTTACAAGTTATAATGATTACAAGCATAATTTATACGGAGACGGTCTATCGTTATACATCTGTTAGACGCGTCAGCCGTTCAACTGACTACTTTTAGTCTCTTTCGCCAGAGGGCGTTCGTGGAAGTAAAGTTCTAGTAAGCAAACGCGACAGAAACAAATTGAGCCTTGTTTTAATTTTGGTTTAAATCATAAATCACTATTCAATTTATTTTATATTTCAATCATCTATAAAAATTGAGCCAGACCAAAATCCATGGTCAGGTCGACTTTGTACTGCTTTATTTTTCTTTGAAAAAGCTTGTAAGACACAGTCAAGAATAATTATTTGCTTTTTGAGAACTAATTTCCTTAAGAGACATACTGATTTGCCTAATGTATTTAGGATGATTTGTCCTTTTTCATTAATATTTACTTCTTAAGAGTCAGATTGAGAATAATTTTAAACTAAACTAACACCTTGTATCCCTGTGTGTGAGAGTGACAAATTTGTATATTTAACATTAGAAAGACTGAAACTTAGTATATACCTATATTGCCCCATAGCAGTCAAAATGACTGCATTGTGAAAGAATAACTAATGTGTAAAGAAATTTGTTTAAAATTAATTTTTAATATTTTTATATTATTTACTTATTAGAAAATATTAACAATAAAAATTACTTCACTTGGGGGGGGGGAGGATAATTTATGCATTATTTGTACACTTTAAGGAATTTATTTGTACACTTTTTGATCTTTGTGGATCTTCATGTTCTGATGAATTTTTCTGTCTTGCAGCTCTGCAGTTAGTGGAAAGATGTTCTGCTAATTGAAACAAGAACTGTTTTCGTTGTATTTGTATTCCTGTCGCTTCTTTGGAAAGGATCCAAGCATTTATAGCAGCCACAACTGCAACTTATCATGTATATGTCCAAATTGACAATTTATGATGAACTTGTATGTTATCATGTGATGGTAATAAAAAAAATATAAACTGATGTTCCAATCCAGAGCCGAACTGGTCATATAAGAAATTTCCTCAATTCAATAATAAAAGTCATTTGATTATTTAAAATTTTTCAAGTAGTCAAAATGACTGCTTGTGAGCAATACAGATATAACACACACGCATATATATATATACACTAGAAAGCTCGGCGGTCATACAAAATGACCACTGTT